GTTGCTCTGTTTTGTGTCGGTTATGTGATGTGTGCAAAATCACCGTTTTAGTCGTGTTTAACAAAAAATATAGGAAAATAAAAATTGAAGAAGGAAAAACATCAGCTGTATCGACGTCTGCAAAAGGAATATTTGTTCAGGAGAGTATGAGAGACTATAAGGCTTTATATGATAAGAGGTAATTTCACTAGTATATGGTAATCACTATTCATTTGAAGCTAAAAAAGTTTGCCAAGAAAAAGCGCAAAAAAATAAGAAATAGCAAGAAGAGGAAATAAATAAAAATTATTTTTTCAAACAGTGTTTACATTTCTAATAGTGAAAAATTTAAATGTAGGCAAACTGTACCTGCAAAAAAAATCTTTTACTATACAAGAAATTTTATTGGTGAACGAAAAAGTAGTAGTTTGCGCTATGATACAGTACGTTAGCTGCAATTATTTGGGATCAAGAGTTGCTACAGGTTTTACAAGTTTGCAAGCTAAATGACGCTTGTAATCTGAATGCTGATGTTTAAGTAAGTATAATAGTTTTATAGAAAGGCGTAGTTTTCATAAGAAATTTACTAACTGCAAAATGCAAAAGTATCTGAAGTATCTTTAAACCTTGTTCGTAATACCGGTATCAGTTCGTTTTATGAAGAATAAGTTCAGAACAAAAGTTTATTGGTGTGTTTAAGGTTTTCGTTTTTTATTATTATTTTTCTTTTACTATATGACAACAAAACTGCTTGAAAAGGTTGCAGATAATTCACTATTAGTGTTTATATAAAGTATAGTCAGAGACTATTAAAATTCACTAATTGTTAGCATTACTATTATTACATAGTTTATACATTAAGATTACTTTATTAGGGCTAGAACTGTTAAAGTAAAATTTACGAAAATGCTTTTAGAGTAAGAACACTGATGACGAAATTAAGTGTAATTTATAAGTTTCAGTTTTTTTTTTTTTTGAAGAAGTCTTATCTTGTTAGTTTGAATAACTAAAAGTTTTACCGTTTTCAAGGCTTCTACTAAGACAGAAAGCAAGTGTGTTATTACTCACGTTGTACCTGTTTGAAATTCTAAAATTACACTGATTTTTTGCTGGAACAGTATGGAACTTTTTGCTGCTTTTCAATAATTATCAGTATTCAAATTAGATCTTAGCATAGATTATAAATTAACTAGTTGTATTGAAATCAATATAGTTCTTTTTCTGGCTGCTATCTACAAAAGTGCTAAACGCTGAAATCAATGCTTATTTTGTTGCCAAAGTCAAGCGAAGGAAAAGTGCCACATGTCATTACGCCTTAACGCAGATCTGATTTCTCAACACGTTTTGATCAGACTTTCTTGATTTCTAGTCTTGATAACAGTACGGATACTTTTGCTTCAGTATCGCTACCATTTCTACAACTTTATTTTCTGTTTTTATTTTCGAAGAATTTTGTGTTTAGCACAGTAGTAACCAGGCAAATGGATAACTTGGTTCTATAAGGTAGAGAATGCCTTGTTTGCTCACCGCTTATATATCAAATTTTACGACCACGTATTTGTAGAAATAAAACGTATTTTTAGAAAAATTAATAACTTTACCGCCTTTCATTTTGACGTTAAGGCTCTGTTACAAAACTAGATTATTTTGCTTAATCAACACTCTAAAATCTCAAACAGTAATTTCAAGTTTTTTGAAAACTTTATTCGATCAGAATCTCTTGAGTTTTCTATTGCGCTACTTTTACGCGACATCTTCAAAAGAAAGTTTCCTAACCTTAAATTCTTTCACGCTTTAAGCAATAAACTTCAAATACAATATTTTAGAAAAAGTGTTAATTAAAAAACAAAATTATTAACGTAAATCATAAAGAAAACTTTGAATGTAGAGGAAATAAAAAAACCAAGTAACTTCAAAAAGTCTAAAATTCTTAATTGAATTAAGTAATAATGAGAAAATGTAGCCGTATTAGAGAACAGAAGATGGTAGAATCTAGACTAAAAATTTTTTTCGAATGTCATCAGTTTATTTGTTTTGAGCTTTTATACTTTCAGTTTTGCGAAAATAAAGAGGCCTATCTCATATAAATTAGTTTCATATTAGGATTAATTACTCGAGTTTGTCTAAAGTTTTGAATGTTTTCTTTAATTTCTTATTTGCTTATGATGAGGGTACATATGTATTCAAATTTTAATGCTAAATAACTAGCGCTTCTTTGTAGCATTAATATTTGACAATCATATAACCGTACCTTAAAGTAATCAAACACTCAGATTTTTAGAAAAGAGTATTACTTTCTTCTGTTTCTCTTAATACTATTTCATTTGTTGAAAACTTCAGTACTGTTACATTTTGCTTCTAATTAGTTTTACTTTCTTTTCTGTACACTACTGTAACGACAACTAATTTTTTGATTTATGATTTTATGATTTTTAGAAGATTAAGTGTTATAAGCAATGTTTCTTCAAAAAAACAAGCGAATCCTCTTCGTGATTGCTGCCACTTCTACTTTATTGGCCGTATTTTACTTGTCAAATACAGGTAAATGTTTATATATTTTTTATTAAATGAGTTACACAAACTGTTCCACGCAAACGCATATGAAACTGACAAATTTCAGGTGCTAATCTGACGACTCCTTCAGAGGAGACAAACAAAAAATTAAAAATTATAGTTGTAACAGCATACAACAAAGAATTCGATGAATTCAGATTAGCTCTTGAAACTTTTAAGTGTTACTGTATTCAACGAGGATACACATTTGTTGCCTATGATGGGGTCAAAAACAAATCTCTTGACAAGGTTTGCCGCAACAAAAACGTAAGTGCAGTGCACAATTAAGTAATTTAAGACAGACTATTGAAAATATCATTTATATTAACTCGTATTCACCTGCATAAAATCAGCCACATCTATCTCATACAAATTTATTTACTAAAACAATTATTATTCCTGCTGAGAATAATGTGAAAAAAAAAAGCAGACAAAACAAAATTTCAAAAATATTTAGAATATTAAAGAAATATTTGCAAATGCTACAAGCACAGACATCTCTCTCGTCTAGAAATAAATTTAATACGCAGTAGAAAGATTAACTTTAAAATGTATAAGCAATAAAAACAGTCTTATCCAGTATCCGCCTTGAGTTAGCATTTTTGCCTATATATATATATATATATATATATATATATATATATATACGTATATATATATATATATATATATATATATATATATATATAATAACAGTCAAATAAAAAAAAATCAACTTTTTTTCAAAACTATTATCTAACATAAAACAATTTTTTATTGCGACGTTTTGAAGTGATAGACGTTGCCTACTCATTTTTTGTGCTTGTGACGTACGTTAGAACAAAAAGAAATTTTAACACGGTCTTTGATTAGCAGCAGCTGAGGGTTCATTAAACCCAAATCTGCACCAAGACTCAATTTTCTTGAAATTATTGGCTTGTGTAGGTTTTTTTATCCTTTCTGAACTCAACAGTGAGCTTTATTACAGTCTCATCAATAAAATCCAAATTTCTGCAACAGACTTTCTGGGGTTAACAGGTGACAGCCACTGCATTATTCCGTCTTTTTTAACGCAGGTTTTCGTTTAAGATCTCTCTAAAACAAATTTTTCGCAAATTTAGAGCACCTTGAACTGCCAGTTGTAAGCAAAAAATTTGTTCAAATCTACACTTTTTTAATTTTAAGGAATTTCTTTCTGGAATAACTATTCTCAAATTTTATACAGCTATGCCATGTTTACCTTTAATTGCAAGCATAAAAAAGAGACTCATAATCTTCAACTGCCTATTACTACAAAATGTA